AGATTAGAAGACTCAACATAGTCATGAGAAGCAGCCAGTCACAAAAACAACCCAGGTTGATAAAATGGACTACATTAAAATTAAGAAATTTGGCTGAGCAGAGTGGATCGTGCCTGTAATCCCAGTACCTGGGGAGGCTGAGGTGGGAGGATCCCTTGAGCTCAGGAGTTCAAGACCAGCTTGAGGAAGAGCAAGACCCCACCTCTACTAAAAATAGAAAAATTAGCTAGGTGTTGTGGTAGGCACCTATAGTTCCAAGTATTTAGAAGGCTAAGGCAGAAGGATCACTTGAGTCCAGAAGTCTGAGGCTGCTGTGAGCTAGGCTGATGCCATGGCATGCTAGCCTGGGCAACAGAGTTAGACCCTGTCTCAAAATAAATAAATTAATTTTTAAAATTAAGAAACTATTTCATCAAAAAAGTAAAAAATAAATGTCACAAAGTGGGAGAAAACATCTGCAAAACATGTAACCAAAAAATGCCTGTGTCCAGAGTTCATGCAGACCAATAAGAAAAAGACAGACAATCCTTTGGAAAGATGGGCAAGCAATTTGAGTAAGTACATGGCAAAAATCACAAATCACAAAAAAAGAGATCCAAATGGTCAATAACTATATGAAAACGTGTTCAACCTCATTGACAATTAAGAAAATGCAGCAACAACCCAATCCCACAACACTTCTAGTACTTATTGGTGAAGCTACGAAGCAGCTGGAATGGTCACGTCCTGATCATGGAAGTTGAAACCGAATGGATCAGCCTTGAAACTTATTTGGTAGCATCTACTAAAGCTGAACCCATGACCTGGCAATTTTATGATTAGGAACACACCACATCCCAACAGAAATTGTGCACATCTGTGCCGAAAGACGGATCTATTCGACCAATCTAGAAATAATCCAAATGTTTATTAACAGTAGAATGGGTAGATATGTAATAATTTTTATATGACTGAGCCCCAGATGGCAATGAAAATGAACTACAGTTATGTGCACAAGGGTGACATTGAATGATAAAAGCCAGTCATAAAACAATATAGACATATGATTCCATTTACATAAAATGGAAGCGACATGATCTATGGTGTTAGAAGCCAGAATAGTGGCTACCTATGGCAGGTAGGGAGTGCAGAAAGGGATTCTGGGATTCTCGAATGTTTACTTTAAAGATTTGACCTACATGGCCCAGCACACCTGTAATCCTGGCACTCTGGGAGGCTGAGGCGGGTGGATTGCTTGAGCTCATGAGTTCAAGACTAACCTGAGCAAAAGTGAGACCCTGTTCTACTTTTTAGAAAAACTGAGGCAAGTGAATCGCTTGAGCCTGAGTTGGAGGTTGCTGTGAGCTGTGATGCCACAGCACTCTACCCAGGGCGACAGCTTGAGACTCTGTCTCAAAAGCAAACAATAAAAAAGGTTTGATCTAGGTGAAGGTTATAAGGATGTGTTCATTTTGAGATAATATAATGAGCTGTCTCCATTATGGTTTATGTACTTGATTTATTTATGATTTGTAGACTTACTAACATGTGTATTTTATCTCATAAAATATTTTTAAAATATTCCTATGAATCACATCAGAATGGTTGCCTATAAGGAGGCAATAGGCATAGAAAATGAGTGTAAAAGAAAACAAGGCTCGGCGCCTATAGCTCAACCGGCTAAGGCGCCAGCCACGTACACCTAAGGTGGCGGGTTCGAATCCCCAGCCCGGACCCGCCAAACAACAATGACGGCTGCAACCAAAAAATAGCCGGGCGTTGTGGCGGGCGCCTGTGGTCCCAGCTACCTGGGAGGCGGAGGCAGGAGACTCGCTTGAGCCCAGGAGTTGGAGGTTGCTGTGAGCTGTAATGCCACGGCACTTTACCCAGGGGGACAGCTTGAGGCTCTGTCTCAAAAAAAAAAAAAAAAAGAAAAGAAAACAAATAGGTAGGCAGGCGGTTGGGTAGATCTGTGCTAGCAACAGCTCTAGAATTTCGTGCTGTCTCCTATGGACACTAAGTACAGACAGACATTTACATTTAAATTCAGTTTAATCAAAAATTCAGTTCACCCATCACATTAGTCCCATTTCAGGTGCTCGATAGCCATGTGTAGCCACTGCCTACCATACTGGATAGCACAAAATATAGAAAAGTTTTATCATCACCCAAAAGTATTAGACAGGATAGGCGGAGATGGATGAGACAGAATGCAGAGGAGAATCTGAGAACCACTCGTGTTAAAGGGGTTATTGTAGAAAACAGACCAAAGTCACACAAGATCCAGAAGGTGACATTATGGAAGCCAAGGCATCAGATAATTTCAAAGAGGAAGTGTTAATGTCAAATGTTACAGAAAAGGAGCAAAGAAGCTAGAATCACGTGGCAAATTATAGGTCTTGTGAGAGTTTAGTAGTGTCAGTGCACATGGAAGTCAGACTGTGGGATCCAGAACATAAGGGACTGAAGTTAGAAATTGCCAGCAGAGGGAGGCGCCTGTGGCTCAAGGGAGTAGGGCGCCGGCTCCATATACAGGAGGTGGCAGGTTTAAACCTGGCCCCAGCCAAAAAAACTACAAAAAAAGGGCAAAAAAAAAAAAAAAAAAAAAGAAACCAAGAAATTGCCAGTAGACCTGAATTTAGCGGGAGACAGTAAATTCCCTCCAGCTGTGCCTGCTTTATAAAGGCCAGACAAGCCCAGGGACCCCTGAGATCTGAAACAGTGTGATCGGGAAAGATTCTGCAGGGAGAGGCAGAAAAGCTCAGACACACACAAACACACTCGTTTGGGCTCAGAGCAAGGCTGCCCGAGTGGGACTGGTGTCGTTTCTCTGACCATAAGGAAGTGGCCCCAGAGGTTATTTCCGGGGTCACCAGTGGGGTTTCTAAGAATTGATATGTTATGGGGTAGGGCAAGGGTGTGTCAACACACACACACACACACACACACGCTTAACCCACCCACACATTCCACATCCCTGGGCTCTGGAAGAAGTGAGAAAGAAGGTCCCAGGGTATTATCAAATACGGAGTATTAATTGGTGAGATTTCCCACCACCACTCCATTTCCGGAGACTCTAGCGTAGTGATCAACTATGGATTTTGGAGGGGAGAGGCTTTTCTTTAGGAACAGCTGAGAGGGGATAGAGAGCCAGAATCACCCCTGATTCTTTGCCCCTCACCCCTCATTTCTTTGAGTGTCTCAGAATACAAGAGGGGTATCATACACAGAGCATTTTGACATCTTGGTTTGTGATTGCTGTCTCCTCCTTGGGAATTGCAGCTCCCTGTCTTCCCAGTCCTTATTTCTCTCAGGGACCCCTCTGCCCTCTCACGGACCCAGGCATCTATCCTCCCAAGGCTCCCCTTCCCCATGGGTCTCCCACCCCTGTTGTTTCAATCCAGTCTCCTATTTACACACTTCATTTTCCTGGTTGGCTTTCTGTGCCAGTCAACTCTGAGCTTTTGTCTTTCCCTCTGGGAACTTGCCTCGGGTGGGTAGGGACATGGGTCTGAGCCCGGGGGAGAGTGGAGCTGCCACGCAGCCAGGACCTGTGATAAGAGAGGAGGAGTCCTGGGGATAGCAGCTGCCAGGCTGATGTCAGAGAGGACACTTAGGCTTTGCAGCTGCCATTTCCAAGGGAGACTCCCCAGCAAACAATGAGTCCCCACAGTAGGGAGGAGGAGAGCAGGACATGGGTCAGGCCAGCCCCAGTCAGGAGGAGCTGACTCCATCTCAGAGAGGCCACATCACCTTCTGCCTCTTTCTTCTGCTCCCTGTGTACAGCCTAGACCCTCATCTCCTCTCTCAGGCAAATTCGGGGGTGATGGAGAGGAAAAGCTTAGCATCCAAAACCTGTTCTGCCAGTCTCTTTTGAGGGCAAAACCAAACAAAAAAAGAAACTTAAAACCAAATAATTTTTCAGGAAGTAGAATCTTGGTGTCTGTGTGGAACCAGGAAATGAAGGCCTCGCCCTTCACACACTAGGCCTCGCCCTAGTGTCTACACGGCTCCCTGGCTTGGGACCACATCAGAAGAGCCTGCTCCCCCAGGGCAGTTCTTAAGAATTTACAAGTGCCCTCCAGGAGATAAAAACAAACAAACAAACAAACAAAAACCAATGTTCCCACCTCACAAAGGAGGAGCCTGTTGGACTGGGGGTAGAGGTCTTGCTTCCCACTCCATGGACCTCAGACCCCTGCCTATCCCACCACTTGTACCTCAGTGGTGCCTGGAAATAGGATGTCTGACTGGTGACCAGGACTTAGTTTGTGGGGACTGGGGAGGAGCCAGGACCCGGATATGGGACCTTCACTATTGTTCCTGGCAGGAGCCAAAGGAATGATTCTGTCCAGTGAGCCAGCAAACATGACCAAATGATGCCTCACACCTTTACTCTCCACCCAGGAACCCAGGTTCTCAGCACCCTGCTCCCCAGCTGTCTCCATCAGAGACACCACCCATCCAGGACTAAATTTCCCAGTAGGCTCCCAGGGTGCAGCCACCAGCTGTCCTCATACTCTTTTCAGGATACTCACCCCCACCCCTTCCCAGGCCATCAGGGCTCCCCATTCCACCTGTCCCTGAGATCAGCAGTCTCCTCCAGGAAGTTGGCACCATCTGCTTGGCACATGGCTCAGGGTGTGGTCTGAAGGGCCAAGAAACTCCACTATATATCCCAGCCCACAAGCTGACCCTACAGCTCTGGGAACCTGCAGGTAAAGAAGGCTAGGATCCCCTTTAGAAGTGGAACAGCAGGTCCCTTACCCTTGCCCTTGCTCTTGCCTTCTCCACTCCACTCCCAGACCCATTGGAGAGCCAGCCTCTCTACACATGCACACACTGGCCCTTAGATCCTGCCTAGTTTGTCCATCTGCCTGACTTCCCTCCCCACCTTAACCCTCCTGGCGTGCAGGTGGTCCTTGTCCTTGACAGACAGACCAGGCTGTCTGTCCTTTCCTGTCTCCAGCAGGGCTAGTAGACCAGCCCCCTATGACCTCCTCTTTTTCCCTATTGCAGGCATGGGTTCCCTGTGGAGATGGTGGACACTCTGGGCCGGAGCAACCCTCATGTGGGGTAAGTCAGACTGAGACCCCTTCCGAGTCCTTGTTCCAATCTGGGGGACTCTGCCTGAGCCAGCACCTTCCGTTCGTGCCCCTCCACAAACCCATTTCCAATGTCACCTTAGGCTAACTGAAGAGGCCCTTAGGTTCTGCAGAGAAATATGGTGGAATTCACCCAATCTCACTCTTTTTGAGGGGGAAGCCAGTAAAAACCTTAGTCCCCAAACTCAAGGATGCAAGAACTGCCTCTTTCTTGGTTTTCTGCAATTCAGCTGAGGTTTTGATGCTAACCCTCATTCTGCTGAGCTGATGAGAAATTTCACAAATGTTACTCTTGGAGGGATATGTCCCCCAGGGATACACTCAGGTCTAGAATCTTAGATAAAGCCAAAGTGTTCCCAGAGTAAAGAGTTTGTCCACCTGACACTCAAGTCAGTCACTGGACAAGTGGATGAGAGGTCAAATAATTTCACTTTTATTTATAGTGATGCTAGCAATTCTGGAGAACAGTGAGGATGTCTCCCCAAAGAGCTGTACTTTTCTCCTGTTTCTCTTTGTTACTTGTCTATGTTCACAGTAAAAGTAAACATGAGCAATGTTATTAATCATCATAGTATATATTTGCTTATAGGTTACAAGGTTACCCAATATCCCCCTATGTTAAAGTGATTACTTATTCAAAGCATTCCTACTCCACACTAAATTTATAGTTAGTTACTATTTAGTAAGTGTGTTACTAAGTGAGCTTTCTGCAGTGGGTCCTTGACTGGCACCATGGTCCCTTGAAGTGTCCAATTTCCTTTTCTTTCTCTCTCTCTCTCTTTCTTTTTTTCTTGAGACAGATTCTCCCTTTGTCACCCTGGGTTGAGTGTTGTGGCATCATCACAGCTCACAGCAACCTCAGACTCTTGGGCTCAAGAGATCCTCTTGCCTCAGCCTACTGAGTAGCTGGGACTATAGGTGCCTGCCACAACACCCAGCTGGTTTTTCTGTTTTCAGTATAGACGGGGTCTCATTCTTGCTCAGGCTGTTCTCAAACTCCTGAGTTCAAGCAATCCACCCGCCTTGGCCTCCCAGAGTGCTGGGATTATCGGTGTGAGACACTGCACCCAGCCAAGTGTCCAGTTTCTTAACTACATCTATGACAGAAGGCCTCAGCATGAACGAACAACTCCACATGTTAGCATGTAGGCTTATCAGCCTTGCTGGGGCCTGTCCAACAATGTCCACCATTATACCTCACTTTTACTATTCATGGGTCCATATCTATGGATCCCTGGTTTTTTGACTTGGAAATAATGGCTATGATTACAATATTAACTTTGGAATTGTAGAGTTTTTTAGTTGGGATTTAACCTAAGGAGCAGAGGGACGGGAAAGCAGACATGCTTTGTGTATAAGCAGCATGTTAGAAGGCCTAACAGGAGGACACCCCACTCCATCCTACTTTGGCTATTGCCTTGTGTACTTAGTTGATGTCAGGCAACCAGGACCACAGTTTTTATAGTTTGCTGTCAATGAATCTTTCTTTCTGAGTTATGTCCTGGCTTGGGTTATTAATAGTTTGTAATTTCTTTTCTTTTCTTTTCTTTCTTTCTTTCTTTCTTTTCTTTTCTTTTCTTTTCTTTTCTTTTCTTTTCTTTTTTTGAGATAGAGTCTCAAGCTGTCACCCTGGGGTGGAGTGCCACGCACAGCAACCTCAAACCCTTGGGCTTAAGTGATTCTCTTGCCTCAGCCTCCCAACTAGCTGGGACTACAGGCACCCACCGCAATGCCCAGCTATTTTTTTGTTGCAGTTGTTTAGAAGGCCTGGGCCGGGTTCAAACCCACCACCCTTAGTGTATGTGGCTGGCACTGTAACCACTGTGCTATGGGCACTGAGCCTGTACTTTCTTTTTAATTAGCTAATTATTATCTGACAAATTAAAACATGTATCTTGAAATTTTGGCAACTATGATTATGTCTTAATAATAAGTAGTCCAGTGAAGTATGAGTTTTTAAGACTGTTTCTTTGACTTGTCCTAATTTTGTATTAATAGCACTTATAGCTTGAGAAGTGGCATTTAAGGTTCCTGTCATAGCACAGACCAAGTGACCAATCTCAATATTAAGACCAGTTGTCATACAGGGCATTACAAAAATGAATAAGGAGACATATTTAGCAGGACTGAACAGGTGTATGTCACTGTGACATATGCCGGGCAGGTGTAACTCTCCGGTATGCCTTCTAGGAATACTGAGAAGGTATTGTGGATCGTGTATGCAGGGCAGGAAAGGTGTGAGGCGCTCAACAGTGCAGGCCCACCAGCACTGTTAGCTGGGACATAGGCGTAAGTAAGTTCAGGGTCTACAAAGGAGAAACCATTCCCTTAGCAACTTCAGATATGTAACAGGGTAAGACAGGGTGGTTGCTTGATTACATAAGAGGCTTGCTTTGCCAGAGGCTGGGATATAATAGTTAATATAACACCCTATAAAGCTGATATAAGAGTTATTTGGGGTAACTATCTTTAATTTCAAAGAAAACATTTTTTGGAGGATGGGCTTGGTGGCTCACACCTATAATAGTAGCACTCTGAGATGGCTAGGAGGGAGGATCACTTGAGCTCAGGAGTTTGAAATCAGCCTGAGCAAGAGTGAGACCCCCATCTCTACTAAAAATAGAAAACCTAGCTGGGCATCATGGTGGGTCCCTGTAGTCCCAGCTACTCAGGAAGCTGAAGCAGGAGGGTCTCTTGAGCACAAGAATTTGAGGTTGCTGTGAGCTATGATGCCATAGCACTCTAGCCTAGGCAACAAAGCGAGACTCTTTCTCTTTTTTCTTTTTTTTTTTTT